TAGAATGGATACCTTATGAGCAATTTTATGATATAGAAAAGTTAACAGAAGGTGGATTCAGTTCTATTTATACTGCTTCATGGACAAGAGGAACTATTGATGATTATGATGAAAATAAAAAGGAGTTTAGTTATTTTGGAGCTCAGATTGTGGTATTAAAATCATTAAATAATTCAAGTGATCCAGGAAAACTTTTTTTTGACAAGGTAATTGATCTTTTTTAAAATAAACCATTTTTTTTAGTTTAAACTAATTGACTTATTTATATAATTAATTATTAATTTCAGGCATTGAATTATTGTAAAATCAAATCAGGAATGATTGTTCCTTGTTTTGGTATAACTAAATTCCCAGAAAATGGAAATTATACAATAATTCTTAATTATCTGAAAGAGGGAAATTTAAGAGATTATATACAAAAAAATCATTCAAATTTAAGATTAAAAGATAGAATTAATATTTTTAGATATTTATGTAATGCATTATATCATATACATGAAAAAGATTTAATTCATTGTGATTTACATAGTGGTAATATATTGATGCAAGGAGGTAATTGCTATATCACATATTTTGGATTATGTGGACCAGTTGATGACAAATTATCAAATAAAATTTATGGAATTGTATCTTATATTGCACCAGAATTATTTAGAGGAAAAAAATCCACAAAAGAAACAGATATTTATAGTGTTGGGATGTTAATGTGGGAAATATTTGCAGACCATCCACCATTTGATGATGAGTCACATGATATTTTACAATTAAAAATATGTGAAGGTTTACAACCACCAATATTACCAGGAATGCCTGGTGATTATGCACAAATGATGCAAAGGTGTTGGGATGTGGATCCAGCCAAGAGACCAACTATTGGAAAGCTTTATGAATTTTCTATTAATAACTTTGAAAGTGAGAGCCCTAATGAAAGTAGCAGTAATATTAGTGGTAACAGCAATAATAATTCACAACAAATTCACAAATCTCATCCATTAGCATATCATAAAGTAGAATATTAAATTTAAGTAATGATAGCTTATTAAATTATGAAATATAATTTTAACAAAGTAAATTAAATAGTTAGTTAATTGAAATCTATTAGATTATTTATTAATTAATTACAATGATAATAGTAATAATAATAATAATAATAATAATAATAATAATAAATAGCTGATAAGGTTAAAATTGAATTGTTGATGGGTAGATAATCACCATTTATTAATTATTTTTCATTATTTTTCATATGGGATCTTATGTGTAAGATTTTAACATTGCATAAAAATACTTTTTTTTTAATAACTTTTGGCCCCTTAAAAACTTTGTTGGTCATAATAATGTATTTACAACACTCTAATATTAATTTGACCTTTCAAATGATTTTGAAAATGAAAGCAAATTACGCTAACACCACGTTTTTAGAGAACATCCCTGAAGATAGTGATGTTATTGAATGGAGGTGGAAGAGGAGAAGGAATAGCTGATGTCGGAATTAATATAAAATTGGATTCTAGTTTGGAAAGTTAGTATTAAATATATTAAACAATGGACAAGATTTAAGAAAAATTTTGAAACCGACATACGAAAACAAAATCTTGTTTGAAGGCACCAATAAAAAAAGAAGTGGAATTAACACATTTAAACCATAACTGTAAATTTTTTGCTTCCTATAAAAATATTCTAAATGGTTATATATCACTACATTTTATAATGAACATTTTGGACACTTATGCAAGAATATTCAAGTCAAAAAGGCATTCGTAAATGATATTTAATGGAAGTATGTTTGAAACCTCTTGGAATAAAACGGCGCATATTAAGATTGCAAAACTCCTTCAAAAAAAAAGTCATATTATTTTTTTAATAACTTATATTTGATCATTTGTTTGCATATGTAAAGATTTACTACTTTTGTCAGGGGGTTTAATCGAGAAACCACCTTTATTCAGTACTTTAGTTACGTCAATGACTAAAGTCAAAAGTTTTGTCATTAAAGTAAAACGTTGACTAAAGTGAGGGACGTCGACTAAATAAAAATCCTTTGACTAATTATGTATGTGATGTATGACGATATTTTTTACTTTAGACGTCGAACGTGACTAAAATATTGACTATAAAGGTGGTTTCTCTCCAAGAGCCATTTTGTCGATTTAAAAGCTCTTGACGAAGCAGTAAAATTAAACCTTGTTTTTTTTATCACGTTCAGGCAAATTAAAACATTTAATTTGAGACCTAGTTACTATGAGTACAAGCAAAACAATTCTGTATTCCTATAATGAATTTATTATTATGTATGAGCCATATTGAAACTAGTGTTGGTTTCCAAAGCTATAGAGTTTCGCAACTGTGCGAAAGTCAAAACTGGTTTTGACTTTTGACTTTTGATTTAGTTTTGACATATAACTTTTAACTTTAGTTTGACTTTCGCCTCTTCAAAATGATTTTGACAACAAACACTAGTTGCCATAAGACCGGATAAAGTGAATGTTAGGTCGCAGGACCCTATTACCATTACAATTACAATAATAAAACACATCATTATATTTTGAAAAAAAATCATTGTTACATCACAATAACAAAAATACACAATTCAATTGATTCAATCATTTATTACATATAACAGGAGAGACCGTTCTGATAACACAAAATTTTAACCCACGCAATT